CCCCAAAACCACTACCTGAAGCATGTATGTATGTACCTACTAGAAGGGACATAAAGCAACACAGGAACACACAGCATTCTGTCTGCACTACCTATCAGACCTCCTACTGAACTCTTACAAGGATAAGAAGAAACTGAAAACAAGGAGCAAGCAAGCAAACCCACATTCACATTACTAAAGATCCCAAGTTGGAAGGGAACTATAATCGTCCTGGAGTCCAACTCCACTGGCTACTACTGGATGACAGACTAGACAGAACTTGAATCCTTCTCAGGAGCTTTGTTTACCCTCACACACTCACTACCTCAGGCAGTAGAAAGAGAGACTGTGTGAGATGAGATAATGGAAATTTATTTCATTGGCACAGGAAAAGGTTAAGGCAGCTGTCAATCCTTTCACAGTACTTGGTGCCTATGAAGAGGCAGGGAAAAGTTACCAACACTTTCTTTTCCATACCCATTTAGTTGTAAGTCACTCCGATGAGCACATCTTCAGACACAGTTGTTTCTGCTTATGATAGTTGTTCCTCAGAATTCCTTACTCTTTACCGCATGACAAAGAGATTTTTCTACTGGTACCAAAGTATTAACTGATTAAAGATTAACCCACCCCCAGGAGACAGAATCTCATTTTAAAAAATTCCAATCATTGCAGTCACTGAGTCAGACCACATCTCTGCAGCAGCCAATTCACCCATGCTTCTGTGCCAGCTCCCACCTGAGGGGCAGGTAGGTGCTGGGACAGGAGAGCCAGCTACCTACCTGCTGGCTGCAGCTCTCAACAGCACACGCCTCATGAACATGCAACGTATCGATTAGGGTTTTATTTCGAAAATTCACTTAAACAGATTAAGGTATGAGCGTAACACGGTTTACAGAACAGTCTCCAAGCAAAGAGCACACTTCTCCAAAGCACCCTGACCTTCCTGGGTTGCTCCCCACACATCCTGCTGCCTCAGAGCAGCACAAGCCTGAAATCACCTCAGCCCTCAGGGCTTTGGGGTCAGCAGCAGGAACACCCAGCATCAACTGCTCGCTGAGCGCCAACCCCAGTGGCTTTAAACCCGTCCATCTGCCTTTTAGAAACAGAGCCAGGCTTGTGATACTATTTGTCCAAAGCCATCCACGCAGATCCCACTGAGACAGTCAGATAATTCAAGGCACAATGGGACAAAGCACGGAGTCCCGGGGGAAAAAATCCGAAGGCACACGCAGCCAGCTGTCAGCTGCAAAGCCCCGCCGCCCCCTCGCGACTCATCGGAACCGCTTTGCTCTCTAGTTACGAAAGACCCGCAGACGGCGCTCCGGGCTCCGTTCCCCCGGCTCTCGTCCCGCCGGGCTCCGGGCGGAGCGGCAGGGCCGGGCACGCGGCTCCTCCCGGACAGCACGCCGGCCGGGGGGATGCTGCCGTTCCACTCCGCTACGCCGCGGCCTTCGGAGCTGTTCCTAGAAAGCGGCGAGCCCGGAGCACGCTTCCAGGGCCGACGTTCGCTCGGAAGCGTTCGTCTCGAGAGCCCGAGCCCTACGTAGCGGCGGCCCCGCCGCACGCTCACCCCGGTGCGGCTCTCGGGAGCGGCTCCGCTCGCGACGCCGGGGCCGGCGCGGCACCTGAGCGCATCGAGGCGCCCCCGGGGCAGCCGCAGCACGGCCCGGCCGGGCCGGGGGCGGTCCCGGGGACTCAGCACGAGACCGCGAACCGCAGCCACCCCCGCGCAGCCCCGGACGGGAACGCCACGCTGCCGCTCCGTCTCCCGGCGCCCCGGGGCGCTGACAGGAGGGGCTCCGGGAGCGGGGACCAGAAGGGCCGTGCGGGCCCGGACGCGGCCCCCTCTCCTCCCTCCGTCCCGGCCGGGGCCGCCGCCGCCCCGCGCCCCCCCGGGCACCGCCGGCTCCTCTCCCCGCCCTCACCTTGGAGCATGGCCTCCAGTTTCTTCCTGTCCACCCGGAATCGCTCCTCGCCCCACTCGGGGCTGTGCGGGGGCCGCGGCGGGCCGGCCGAGTCCTCCTCGGAGCCGGGCACGGGAGAGTCGGTGCTGCGCTCGCTGTTGGAGCCCGGGTCGGAGAGCGGCTGCTGCAGGTACCCGCTCAGCGGGTCGCACTGAGCCGCCATGGCGCTGCCGGGCGGCCCCCGCCGCCGCTCCGAGTCCCACTCGGCCGCCTCCCCGCGGGACGCTATCTGCCCCCACAGCCGCCCCCCCGCCTCATCCCAGCCGCCGCCTGCCAGAGTCCCGGCCCCGGCGCCGCCGCCCGCCTCTGCCTCCGGCTCCCCGCCGAGTGCGCGCGGCCCCGGGCCGGCGTCCGCGGCTCGGCGGCGCCCCCAGCCCGCCCGCAGCCCGCACAGCATCTCCGCCTCCATTGGGCCGCCGTCGGGCCGCCGGGGAGGGGCCGGGGATATCCCCGGCCGCGGCCCGGGAGGAGGGGGCGGCGGGAGGCGGGAGCGGAGGGGGAGGGGAGAGGCCGCCCCCAGCGGCCGCGGAGGCGGGCGGCCGTCAGGGCGGGGTGCGGCCCCGACGCGCGGCACCGGTCCCCGTCCGCGGGGCTCCGGGAGCGTCGCGCCGCCCCGCCCGCCCCCCTTCCCCCGAGGCCGCCCCCGCTGGGGGATGAGCGGACCCCGGGGTCCCTCAGCCGCCCGCCGCCACGCTCTGAGGGAGGTCCGGCGGCGGCCGTGCGGCCCCGGCTGATGTGCTGGAGAGCGATGGACTCTAGGGGTCTTGGTTCTGGAAAATAAGCGCTAAATAACACCCCCCTGCCCCCCCCTTTCTCTCCCCCCATAAAAGAAACGAAAAATCAACCCACGATTCCTCTCAACGCTGATCGAATGTGCAGCGAAAAGAAGCAAACTTTGTTTTGCTCACAGCAACGTTTGTTTGTCAGCACGCGTCGGAGGCAGCATCTGTCCTGCGTGGCTGACAGATCTCTGCACCGCAGTAACTTCCACCCTCGTGGGTTTCTGGTTCTGAGGCTTGGAAAGACAAAGTGCTTCACGTGAGGATGTGTTACACAGCCCTGAGCTCAGAGGTAGAACCACATTAATTTATGCAATCTGCTGGGTGACCCACCAGCAGAATTGACCCTGAGTTATACACTGGGTTTTAGCACAGCGTAGTTTGTATTGCTTTGCAATCGGTCTAGGCCCAAAACCATGCAGTGGTGTGGTGGGAGTGTCTTCAGACAGCATGGCACTGGCTGTGGGGCCAGACAGGACCGGGTGATCTCAGAGTTCTTTTCTGACCTGAATGGTTCTGTGATTCTACGATATGGTTTCTGGTGGCCAAAGTGCGCTGCTGTTCACTGCCAGAAAGCAGTAGGACAGCAGTAGCTGACTCCAGTGGTGGTTACCCAGCTCAGAGCTAATGCCAGGTTGGTGGGCTGTGTTAGAAGTCATCAGGAGCTGGGCCGATGTTCTTGTTGCAAGATGCAGTCGCGTGTACAGAGGTTGACATTTTGGCTCATTGCATCATCAACAGTTTCCCACATTGTGCTGTGAGTGTGATTCCCACACCCCTGTGGTTGCACTTCTACCAACCAGTAGGTGCACACCAGAAGGGACTCTCTGGTGTGCTCAGCCACAGCAGTTACTCCTCCTGGTGCTCTCAGCCTCCATGGATCCCAGCCAGGCAGCGTGCTGCTCACAATGTCCCCTGGTACTTCTCATGGTGGGAAATAGAGCAGCTGGATCCAACAGCAACAGAACACAATGTGAATATGGATCTTCAAAACAGTGTGATCTCCATGTGTTGCTTGCAGCACAATGGCTGGGCAGAGGGGAGGCTGAAAGCACACTGCTGCTTTTCTTCCCGGTTCAGAAATTTAGTCATCAAAACCCTATTTTTATTGCAGATGGAAAGTGAAGATGGTCCGTATCAAACCAACTGGGAGTCCAGAGAAAGCCGCTGCTTCCCCCTGATCGGCGCCAGCTGGACTTGTCTGTCTTCTGGGTGCCAGGACCTGTGAGTTACACAATCCAAATGTTCCCAAGTTATGAGTGTCGACAGGGCCAATTACAACCCACAGCTGCTACAGGTGCTTAGCACCTCTGAGCAGAACAATTACTTGGGTATTTTCCACTCATAAAGCAGTGAGATTTACAGTCAGGGATTCTCGGTGTGGGAGGTCCCTTTCTTTGCATTTTATCAGTTCCTGCAGCACAGCCACAGAATCCTTTCTCATAAATTAGCTATGGTCAAACTCAGCAGTATTTTTTCAGCAGCCATGTAAACAACATAGTAAATCAAACATCTCTTTAAAAATAACGATGTACATGGTTTAGTTTTCATTAATTGGAAATAACCCTTCCATGGTGTGGTTTTAGACCAAAAATGAAAAGTAAACCTATCAAAATCTATATAAATGGTCAAAAAAGAGGCTGTGTTAGTTATAGAAGTTTTTTTATCGGTAGTAAGTGTTTAGGAGAGTATCATTTGTGCTGCAAAGGTGGCATTTTATTTCCCTAGTATACTGCAGTGGAAGAATAAAATGCTACAGAAAAGTAGAAAACCACACTTTAATGGCTAAAACAATATGAAATGTGGGTAGAATTGGGGAAAATGGGAGGAAGTTGGCAGATAAAAGATTAAATGGCTAGAAGGAACGTTAGCTGAAGTTGACTTTGGCATGTATAACTTATGTTGGTCGTTTTTCTGTGGGCAGTAGGTTGATCAAAGAAAAGAATAAAAGGACCTTCCTCATTTTGGTGTAGGATAGGATGCCTGTTTTGCTATGTTCTCTCCCAATTTTTTCACCCTGGTCTCTTTTCCTCAGTTCACATACTTACAATATCTGCAAATCTCTGAAAAAACCTAACTGAATAGAAAAGTGTTTTTTACTCACACACTTGACAGTAAGTCTATCATATAACATCCATCAGGGTGGAATGGCTTATATGAATTTCAAGGAGGTTGATGAATCGGGTTGCATTCGCTATAAATCACTTCTCTTTGGGACTATGTAGAACCCCAACATTTAGAGCTGTATAGGCCCTCTCCTATGGCAAAGGAAGAGAAGTGACAGTCACCAAGAAAAGAGCACCAATCAAGGCTACAGGTCTGCCTTAAGGCTGCTGCCAAAATGTGAAGTAGATAGCTGGCTCTCTCTGTCCTTCGCAATGCAGAGGTTATCTACAAATGGAGAAATGACACAATGTAACCTATCAGTACAGCACAGTATTCTGGATTTTGCAATCTTTAATTTATTTAATGTATTAATTTATTTATTAATAGCAAAGTGCCATTATCTGTATTTTTCCAAGCTGGGAGCCATGTCCAAAAAAGAAAAAAAGAAAAAAAAGAAAAAAAAAGGAAACATACAGAATCTTCATAAGTCATCTGTGGTTTCTAGAAATACTTCTCTAGAGAGAATGCTAACTTCGGTTTCAGTTATTTACAAGAGGTTTGTTACTGATGAAAATGAATGTTAGTGGCATTTTGAAATGCTTTATTTATGGCAATTATCTCCTTTGCAGAAGTAACAGCCTATAAGATTTTGACTTTCATTGTGCTGTACTATATTCCTCAAGCAAGCCCCATAAACTGTAATTTCTCAGAATAATATCAAGTGGGTTACTCTGTACTAATATACTGGGTACTTAAGGCACACCGGCAAATAAATAAGAGGTCCTCCACAGCTATTATAAAAACTTTTCCACGCATAGAAATTCCCAAGATAAATTATTTTTCTAATCATAAGAGCAGAGAAGCTCTGAAACATCTTTATAATTACATTTAATCATGGAACTATTTCAAAGAAATTGAAAGAGATCTCAAAAAGGTTATCTAGTCCATCTCCTAACTATGCTGAGTTCATTTCTGAAAATATATTTGTTTATCTTCTTGACAGTTTCTAATATTGAGGTCTCCATGACCTCTCCAGGAAATTCCTGTGCTTCACTTACCATCAGGAAGTACTTTTGCTTCACAATAAGTGACCTGAATACTACTCACTGCAATTCAAATTAATTAGTTCTCATCCTATCGTGGATATGGTGAATTGATTATTTATTATTTCTATCAGCCTATGATCCTTCAGAGACTTTTATCAGGCATTGATCATGCCTTCTGTCTTCTTTTCTTTTAGGTAATTAATCCTAAGTCTTTCAGCCCATTCAGAGGTATTATTTCTTGTTGCTCTCCAACAGACTCTTTCCATAACAGCCTACAGCCTTCTTGAAATGCAGAGCGCAAAACTGGAGAGAAAATACCAGCTGAAGCATTACCAGAGGTGAACATAACTGCATGATCTCAGCATATGTCTCATACCTGCTTATTCATCTCTGCATCATATTTGTTCTGTCTCTTCAGTGTGACATTATTGTTTGTGCTGATCCACTATAATCACTACGTGTTGTTCTGAAAATCTACTGTCTAACTTGCTGTTGCTCAGTGTGGATTTGTGACATTGTTTACTCTTCATCAGTATGATTTCCTGGGCTTGTCCGTACTGAATTTCATCTTTTCTTTTTTTTTAAGACCGTTTTCCTTTTTTTCTTTTTTCCCCATCTATTTGTGCTAGTGCTATACTTCTGCATTTTACTTTTTTATGTCTCTAAGAAGCATAGTCTTAGTTTCTTCACCAATGCTGTCACCGAAACACTGAACAGACAAAGTTCCAGGACAGACTATTGCAGTCCTATCTTATACACCATTCCATTTTCACACCAAAAACAATGAAAACAATCCTGCACAGTGAAGTTTATTCACCTGTTTGTATGCCATTTCTTTGTCAGTTTTAGCTATATTGTATTGGAATGTTACAGGAAACAGGATTTAAATTCTGTACAAACCCTGAGGTATGGCCTCTGCTGTTACCCACCAGTCTGCATACTTTCTTTCTCTGTCACACAACAGTCTATCTACTGTGATTACTATGACAATTCAAATTCAGCCAGTGTCTGTATTTTCCTAATGATATCTTTAGAAAGTCATCACCTGATCATGAATACATACTTGCATTTGGTAGTGATTGCTTATGACATTTATTGTTGTGAATATGTCATGGTTTTGTGTTTTTTGGTTTTCAGTATTCCACATCAAAACATCATCAACATGTAAAGGAAAAAAATTGTCTGAGTTTTTCAAGGTTTCATTTTCTCAAAAATGAACAAATATGTATCTTTATTACACATTTTTTCTTCCTTGTTAGAAAAATAATTAGAACAAAAGCAACTGTACTTGATTAAAGTGGGAAGATTTAAGACACAAATGAGTGGGCAATTCTGGAGAGAGTATCTAAAAATCATTTTGTTTTGTTAGGAGGGGAGATTTAGGTTGGATGTCAGGAGGAAGTTCTTTACTATGAGAGTGGTGAGGTGCTGGAGCAGGCTGCCCAGAGAGGCTGTGGATGCCCCATCCCTAGAGCAGTTCAAGGCCAGCTTGGATGGGGCACTGGGCAGCCTGGTCTAGTATTAAATGGGGACGTTGGTGGCCCTGCCAACCCCCTGCAGCAGGGGGTTTGGAGATTCATGATCTTTGAAATCCCTTCCAACCTGGGACATTCTGTGATTCTGTGATCACGTTACCACTGAGGAGAGTTTATCTTCACTTGATGTCAACTATATACTTAAACTTTTTTCCCAAATATTCCTATCTCAGTGGAAATAACATTACAGTGGTTTCTGGAGTTAGGCTCCAAATGATTCAACCTTCTTTATTTATATGATTCTGGCCTTTTTTTTTTTTTTTTCTTATGTTTGTACATGTAGTTTATACTTTTATCATCCCACACAGCTAAAATGCTGCAGTTACCAATGGCACATTGATAACATCTATTTTTCCAGTTATATCCGCATATGCAATTCACCACGTTATTATAATGCTCCATCAACTAGGAGAGGGTCTCCTTTACGTGCACAGGAATCCCTAGGCATTCAAAGCTTTCACGTTGTGCAAAATGGCTGCTGTAATTCCTATATTTCTATCAGTAGCAAGAGTAAATAGCTGCTAAGAGCAGCCTTCCGTTATCTACCAGAAATCAAACAGAAAAATGTGATTTGATTTTTTTTTTTCTTAGTTTGTTTTTTTTATACAGGTTTAATACTGTCATGGTTTCGTCCGGTTTGCTAGCACTTGGTGAGTGACCATTTAAAAAATCTAGAAGGAATGATTGAAACATGCTTTCTGTTATTCCACACAGCTATTCATCTCTCAGTCCATGATAGTCGTGTTCTGACATATGCTGTCAGAACAGAGTTAGTGCACCTGAGTGCACTAATATGCTCTAACTGCCCCAACCTGCCTCACCTGGGGCCCCACCTGTACTCTCCACACATGGGTTTGGGAGATATATTTAAGATCGACCCCAAGTTTTAGTTCTTGTTTTGAATTTTATCAGAGTGAAGTCTTTTTTCTTGTTTTTGTTTTTTTGGCTGGATTTTGGCTTGTGTTGGAGGTATGTAGTTTTATCTTCTGTTTTTTGCTGTTGCTTCTATGACTTCATAGATGAATTTTAATGATTGATCAGTGACCTATATCTGATCCTGTTGATAGGACCTTGCTTTTCCTGTTTGACTTAAGTAACGTGGAATTGCACTTGAGTTAGTAAAGACTTGTTGACCAATGTACCTGGCTTGTCCTGCATTATGGATTAGTCCTGCTTTTCTGGCTCTTGAATAACAATTTTATATTTTAAAATGCATGTCATTGGATGGCTCTCTTTTCTTTTTGAAAATGAGCCTTCTTCACAAGTGTTTATGTTGCACACTTAAATTGCTTAATTATGACTGAAATGTTTGAATTAAAACATTATCAAGCTTTAGGTTGGACTTCACTGTATTTTAGTGTGATGCAGGCAAGGAATTCCAGTTATTAAGAAAAGAAAACAGGCAGACTTCATTAGTTACTGTAGTGGAAATGTAAGTCATGGCCTGAACCAGTGATTGAGCACCTGGTGGGAAGGCAGGGCTAACCCAAGGGAGCTCAGGTGCAGTCAATGCATCTGAATGAGTGGAAAAGGTGGAGCCAGGATCCACCCCTTTCCAGACTTCATTTAAGGGTTAGTAGGGGGAGGTGAGGCATCTTGCTGGAGGTCCTTGCCTACTGGAGGCTTTTTGAAGGTAAGTAGTTTCTTCTTTGTTTCAGTGTTGATGGGTGCTGCATTTGTTCTTGTTTTATGTAGTCTGAGACTGTGCCACTCTGCTATTACTGTTGTACTTTCCATCATGTTATAGCATTATAATGTCATTCTCATAGCCCTGGCATCTGCTTCTCCATTCCTTTTAAATCTAGATGTTCACTTTGTCCCACAGTGTAAAATGCTACTACTTCTGAATTTCCAGCATTTCATTGTCAAAGTAGTGCTTATGTCTGCTTCATACAGGTATGTAACTAAATAAATCAAAGGGGATGAATTCTTGTATCAAAATGTGTGAGTTTTTACTACCTTTTTCCGTTAGTTATTAAAGTAATTCTTTGTTTTATATCAAGTAAGCTGTTGATTTAGGCAGATCTGTTATACCATTGAGGGAATGAACTGCTAGGGAAAAGCTAGGCTTGAAAGTAACTTCTAGTTTTCATTCTTTTCATTCAATTCTGTTACCTTTCTAATATTGCTAGTTGTTTCATCTTTAGTTTTTGATTATATGAATCCAGGAAATCTTAATTCAATCTTTGTTCAAATACCAAGTAGACTTACAGCCTCTGGTAACGGAAGTGTAATGAGAGATCTTAAAGTCTCAACAACTGACTGTGAGCTAAAAAGAAAAACCTTCTCCTAATAGGAAGACATGCAAGTGCTCAGAGGCTGAGAGACTGTCTCATAACAAGCATTGAAAAGCTGGTAGTTGAAGTCTTGATCTTGCAAGTTACCATCTTTGTGCAATTGAGTGTTGTTATACCCATTCAAAGCAGGTAATTCTAGGAGACAGTGTTCTACAATGCTTTGCCACTTGCATAGCTAGTACCATAAATACAGCTTTGTATGCTGCATTTACCTTTGTGGACAGCAGTATTTGAGCTGTATCTATTGTTGTGTAAGTATCTGTAAGTATCTAGAAACTTGATTATTTTATTATCTACTACAGAAGTGGGAGAGGGGAAGGTTTTTCCCCTTTTCCCCTTTTGTGTGTTTGCCTACCAGGAATAGGAAGGAGGCAAGGAATATTTTGCGAATAAATTTTTGGGGAAACTGGTCTGACTGATGTTTTAAACATGGGCTATGGCTGGGAAGAGAGCAGTGTAAGCTTTTCTGTGCATTTGTCTGAAGCAAGCAGGCCTGATCTAAATGGGTTGGCACGTTGGGCCACAAAGTGGGGGATTTGGATTTGCAGGTGGTTGCTGTGGTGCTTAAAATGTGCACCATTCCTGTTGGTGCTTGTGGTAAGATGGTGAGAATTCAGAGTACCTTATTGGTGAGTATACTGGCTTTATAGAGGGTCATATTTCTTATCTACTCAGAAGTGAACTTTTTTCTTTCCCTTGCCTGTGTAATGCTTCGAAGGTGGCACTTACTGTGGAAGGCCTTACACGGGCACATGTGGTACCTTATGCTTTTCCACAGTGTTTTCAAGTCCAGAATCAACCAGAATCATTTCAGCACTGTGAACAGCCTGGCACCCAGCTGCTTCAAACAAGGCTGAGAGCAAGCTTGCTTGATCTTGATCTCTGCTTGGCCTGTTGCCTTGAGTAATATCTTTCAAGAGTACTACATTGTATATCTGGATTTATCTATTAACCATTTCTGTGGGTTCTGTGTGATCTGGTCAGGAAAGAAATAATAGAACTTACATCCAGAAGTTAACAACTTCATGCACTGACATGCTTATTCTTTTGGTCTTGCCTCCCTTTTCAAGCCTTGGGAGTATGTAGAGGAACTGCCATAGCTGTGAAGGATTTTTTTCTACTTATTCCCCCAGTTCAACAGTACAGCCATGTTTTTAAGCATGGGAAACAGCTAGTCATCTGCAAGGACTTTATCAGAATTGATAACAGAACATAAGGCTCAGACTCTCTGTGAGTGTAAACTACTCTGGCTTCAAAGAAGCTGTACTGACAGCTGTGTTTGGATGACTTCGGCATTAGGTAAAATTGTAGTTATTTCAACAAAAATACCTTAGATAAAAACCTGTGAAACAGAGGACCAGTTCTAGCTCACAGTGAAATTAAAACCAAAACTGGAAGAGGAGCATTGGCGGTTCCTAGTGTCCTAAAGACTGCAGCCAAACCAGTGAAGGTTTAAGGAAATGACTCATAGTACTCAGAAGAAAGAAAAACATCATAGTAATGGCAAGAAAAGCTAGGTTAATGTAACCATACTGTTGAAGTTGAGTTTACTAGCCCACAGAGGCAGAGACAGGAAGCAGTGAAATGACTGAATTACATTCCTAAAACAAGTCTGTAATAGTGTTTTATCAGGTTAGTGAC